TTTTTTTTTTTTTTTTTTGCACTACGAACTATTTTAGAGCAAAAAAAAGACTTTTTATTTTTTAAACGCCACAATTTTCCAATGAGTCTTCGAAAATGTTATTATTGGCAACTAAGCGCAGAACTGCTTTTTAAAATTACGTAGATGTTTGGCAGAAAATGCATCAAATATTAAACAAGTTCATGGACTATCAAGTTTTAACTGGTAAATAAGTACGCTATGTTAATCTGCTTTATCTCTTCCAATAGTTTGTTACAAGTCATTATTATTTTTTTTTGCTTAAAAAATTTTACAAAAATGAATGTTGTTGATATCAGCGCTATATGTTTCGACACTTAGACGGCAATGAACTGTATCAGCATATTTGACGGTATTGCTTGCATAAATGTGCAGAACTTATTCATGTTGAAACAATTTACCGCTAGCTAGGACTGTAACAGTAAAGTTAGCAGATTGTAAAAATTACGTTTTTTAAAAGGTGCTTTGAATGTGACAGTGTTGAACAGATTTTACTCTGTTTTTGACTTTCAGATGACCAGACGGGATTGTATATTACATATTGTATATTTGCATTGAAGAAACATTCATTTCATGTTTTTGCCTTATTTGGCGAAGAAAGTAGAATACGTATGAAGTAATAGAAGAAACCTTATAAGTTTTTTGCACCATCAAAATTAGCATTTTTTCAGAGTAAAAAAACGAAGACAAAGTGAAAAACTTTAGGATTTTATTAAGTTCAGGAAGGCTTTTAAGAAGCAGCTTCTGTAGTAATTTTTTTTAAAAGCCTCACAGCCTCCTACCCTTGAAGGATATGAAAGTGAGAAGAGCAACCGAAACAGTACTGTCGAGCATTAGTGAGATATGACTTCAAAAAAAACTAAAGTTGGTACACAGTTCACAAAACAGCACGCTTCTTGAAGCAACCACGCAGCTATGAAATCTTTAATTATAGATCATCCATTTGGCTAGTGTTAAAGTATGGATACTGCGTTCAAACTTAATATGAATCGTCCAACAAAAAAAAGTAATTAGTTGACAGCCTCATTCGTTACGTGGTTACATTCGGGTTCCCAAAAAAATTTTTTTCAAAAGCTCTAGTTATAGCTTCACTTTCTGCCAAAATCTTTTTCAAATCTCTTAATGCAAAACTGTGATGTGATGTCCTACTCGTAACGTGTTTTAAAACACTGAAGGATTTGTGCTCATCGTCGTTACCAGTCACCGCTGGTAATCGTAGTAAATCTTCAAAACTCTTCACTGAGACATGTGTGTATTATGGAAGAAAATATTTTCTGCGTATACAGTATTTTTACGCAATAGGTTTTATTTCAAATTAAACTTTAATGAAATGAAAATATGTTCAAGGGAAAACCCAGTGTACACGTTTATTTTTGCTTAGATAAACAAAAAATGACCAGATCAAACAAAATGCAAGCAGTGATACTTTTTGCTTTTTGTAAGAAGAATAAAAAAGGTGTCTTTGTTGTAAGTTATACAAAAAAAAATCAGGACTTGCAAAATTTTATTTTGTACAACAATTTCTTTGTTTCAATGAATAAAAAGTACATGTGTTGAAACATTTTCCTGTTAGGCGTGTCACCTGATACTTACCGCTCTCTTATTATTGCAGTGTTATCAGCAGGTCTATTTTGGTACCATTGAAAACCTGCAGAGCAAGTATTGTGAAATCTAAAAATTTTTACTGTTTTGCTAGTCAAGTTTATGCTGAAAAAAACGTCAGTAGGTGGTTTTTTATAATAAGCTTGCGAATGCAACAATTTTTATGTGCTAAAGAGCGTCAAAACAGCTATCTTTTTTATGAATTAGATGATGTTGTTATTGAGAAAACAGTTTGGCATTTTTAGCTTTCTAGAATTCTTTGCGCAGTTTCTGTAGGTCTCGCAAATGGTTGCATGCCAGCCAGTTGCCACACCATCGGATCCCTGAGTCTCATCTAAGTTTTTTTGTTTGAAATTATAATGCCGCATTATGTATCTGCGGGATTTGCTTTATGTCTATCTTTGAAGGGAGTAATTTGACAGGAATCAGAAATTAGAGGATAAAAATTTTTTTTGTTTGGTAGAAGCGAATTGCTTTCTTAGCGAAATCCGTTTGTGTAAGGCAAATTATTG